GCTGTTCATTTTAGAACATGAACTTGATATTTGCTTTTGTGATTTTGTAATCATATCATATTCTTAATTTTGACACTCATTCTAAAACTTAAACGTAACTCATATACAGAAAAATAAAAGTACAGAAAATAAAAATTAATGTGTAGGACGTGGAATAATTTGAACTATAAGTTTGACATCATTAATGTGAAATACCGTAGTAGATTTATATATTATTACTTTGGTTTCATTGGACACTGTACATTTTGAATAAGGTGATAACTAAAAAAGTGATTTTTTTAAAATTATTTGATATTTGTGCAAAGAAGAGATAAACAATGGGAATTATAAATTAATTATTCTAATTATTTTAATGAAAAAATGTTGAAGTTTTTGAGACGATCAAAATGTGAAAGTAAAATTATCGGACATGAAAGCTTGTTCAATGACGAAATAATGATATATGATAGTAGGGATGGACTCAGGCCGGGCGCCCCGCCCCGGAACCGGCCCGGACCGGTCACTGTTTGAACCGGCCCGGCCCGGGAACCGGGCCATAGGGCGGTTCGGGTCGACCCTGCCCGCTAGTCACACGGTTCGGGCTCGGGCCCTAGGAATGGTGAACCGGCCCGGCCGGTTCGGGCCCGGTCCGGGCCAAATTGAATTTTTCTTTTTTTGAATTTTTTTTAAGTTTTTGGGCTGGGCTGGGTATTTTGGGCCATTTGAGGTGGTTTGGGGTGGTTTGGGGGGTGAGGGGGGAGGTTGGGAGTGAATTAGGAGAAGCCAAAAAAAAATAGATTGGACCGAGGCCCGGTGCGGCCCGAACCGGACCCGGGGGTTACCTGGGCCGGTTCCGGGCCTCCCATATCGTGAACCGTGAACCGGCCGGGTCCGGGCCCGAACCGGCCCGAAGCAATGCCTATATGATAGAACTAAAAATTTGGTTCTACACTTCTACTATTGTGGATTTGTGGAGGTTCTATTTGATGAATTGATAATTTACCATTTCTAATAACTTGCTAGTATGTTAGCCATCCAAACGCTTTTGGACGTTTGGTACTTGGAAGATAGCTATGTGGTTATTTTAGGGTTAATCGTATACTAGTAGTATCGTATTAAATACTACTCGTTGCCTCGTTGGGTTGTGTATGCCCCATTTTACTTGTCATATTTTTCTTTTTGAGTTGTCCTAAAATAAGTGTTCCGTTTCTTTTTTTAGAAAAATATTTGTGTCCTAATCCATTTTACTTTATTATATTCAAACCTCAATCACAATTTTTACTTTTTCAACCACTTTATTAATAATCGTGTCAAGTCAAAGTGAGACACATAATACGGGACGAAGGTAGTACTATTAAATAATATAAAAGTTAAAGTGGATGTGCCTTTGTGCGTCACAATTTTGGAGTCGCACTGGGTCGTCTGCTAGGGATTTGGAGCAGTGCAAAGTTGTTGATGTTTAGTTTTTGTTTAGCTTCTTTAGCGAGAGAGCAACAGGGAGATTGAAGGCAACACAATAGGTGAGATAGAAACTTTGGCCTGCGAAAACAATGACATTTGTTCCAATCATGATGAATGGCGATGTAAGAGACATAAAGTGATCGGAGATGGGAATGGATGACGAGATGAATAATGAAGATAAAATATTGATGGCCCGCCCCTTACTAAACCACCACCATGGAGTGATCGCGGAGCCAGGGATCGGAGATCGACGTTCTACGGTTGGATTTGGTCACATGCGCTCTTGTGCTCTATTTTTCATTAAAGTTTTACTTTTTGTTATTTCATACTTTTTTATTTGGATAATAATTGCGAGTTGTGGGTGCTTTTTTTGTTGTAAGAATGAGAGGAAACAATCAGGCTAATTAATATGGCCGATTAGTCTTGCTCGGTATTGAGCAGTCTATTCTATGTCTAATCAGGGAGTGAGATGGTCTATTAATTATATGGTGTCTAAAGGAAAGTTTTGAATGGTAGTCGGAAAGTTTGATGTTTGAATGTTTGTTTCTATGAGTTTAATATAAACATTTTCAATACAAAAAATATTAAATATAAAAATCACGACAATTTTTAAGGAATATTAGCTCATCATTCGGTTCAAAAAAGAAATATTAGCACATTATTATGTGGTTTGATGACATCATCACTGATCTCTCAACAAGAAGGTTGCATACTTGCATGTTCGAATCTTATCTGAATCAATGATGTTAGTATCAACACTCATCCTTGCGATACAAATAGTTGTCAATGTGCAAAAGTTATATTATACTAAAATGTCGTGATCTTGCATGTAGACTAAGCATGATTATCAATGTTAATCTGAATGTAATAATTGTAGAAAACTAAAATACTTGAAGGTGTCAAATTAGGGTTGAGACCCTTTTGTGCGGGAGAGATGCCCTGCGGGAAGAATATAATGTGCCTCGAGATGGGAATCTAAGATCTGTAGCCGTTGGTTTTTTGATTTGACGGTTTCTATAAGCCGGGTACCATACCTTGCTCCAAAGCAAGACAGATGTTCTAGATCCATCAAATTAGAAATACATAAATGTTTGGTGTTACCAAAAAGGCACACATGTTAAACAAATATTGGTATACACGTAAACTAATAAATGAACACTAAAAATGAAGTATATTTATAAATGTTAAAAATATGAGGATCTATTTATTAAAGAATATACATATACAAGACTATTTTCAATATGCAAATAAAAATTTATGTGAATACTATTTTCACTAATCATTTTCTTATTTGAAAATAATATATTATCAGTGTCATACAAATCGAAATAACTATGTTACACCCCAAATGAAATCATAAAATAATGTCAAGATAAAATGATAATTAATTAGGTAAATTTTCATATTCTAACTAACATTAAAGATTATCTATAGATTAAGGGCATGTTTGGTAGCATTGGAATGGTCTAAATCGATTAATTCTGCTGAAATTGATTAAGTCATGACTGAAGTGGGTGAATTGGCTGAATCTGCTGAATTATGAAAAATATTTAAAATTGTATCACACAATTCATCACGCGAAATCAAAAGTTACGTATTTGATAAAAAATTGGCTAATAAGCCAAAAACAAGGGTCACTAAACGTGCTCTAAGTGTTATACTACCAAAATTGTATTCTATTTCTTTCCAGCATCTTAATAATGAGAAGTGTACATTGCAAGAAGACACATATTGTTATGGGTGAAAATTTAATTTTGTACACTTAGAGACATTTTTTGCGAAAGAATGAGCATATTGAAAGAAGACACATTGTTATGAGTGAAATTTAATTCTGTATACATTGATAGTTCACCAGAATATCACTAATATTATATAGAAAGAAGAGAGAGTTAAGTAGTAGCGAGAGAAACATATATGATAATAAATGAGTTTTCAAACCATTACACCATTCCTAAAGGGGGGGGGGGGGGGTAATATTGATGTGGTATCATCTTTGCTCGTCGAAGGCCTAACCAAGATTATGACTGTCTGTTTATTGAGACTTATGCTCTGTTGGATCTGTTCATGTGTCTTGTGGCTATATGTGAGTCATGAGTCTAAATCCATAGAGAGAATTCCCTAAAGAGGAGTAAAAATGTTTTGAAATTCTAAAATAGGACTATCGTGTTTTTTATTCTCTGAATAGGAGTAAATTTCTACCAAGTTTGGCACTACTCAGCTTTAAACATGACTTTTTTTTTCAAACTTGACAGATTACACATATTCATGGAATAAAAAAACACGATAGTCCTATTTTGAAATTTCAAAACGTTTTTACTTCTATTGGACAATTTCTTATATTCCATCAAGTTGGTCAACCTTAGTTATATTGAGAGCACTACGTAAAAAAACAAAAGAGGTAGGCGTGAGGCAAAAAACAACGGTACATATTTTTTTTTTGTTTTCTAAAAGTATATCTTTTATATTAAATCAAATCATGTTTTAAGTGCCTAATTTAAAAAGGTTCGGATAATGTGACAAACAACTTCATAAAATACAACAAATCAACACCCTTCCATAGGATATGGGATTCCTATGATAGAAAAGACATGAAAAAAGTGTTACCCAAACTAATAAATAGTCAGATGCTTCATGTATTCCTCAAAAATAATTAAGAATAACTATAAACCTAGAAACAACATCCTCAAGCATTGGACCCTCCAAAGATGCTTAAACCAATGCATCCATGTAATGATGTAAACCTCATTAGGATTGCATCATTATGATCATTTCATTTTCAATTATGTTAATGCTCATCATGTTGGTTATAATATAACAAGTAAAGTATTTAATGTAAAATAAATAACTACGTAGTACATTAAATGACAACATTTCAGTGCTTTATATTTTTCAGAATTATATTAAATACCTTAATTGCTCAATCACTTCTTTCCCATTTTTTGACATACTTTCTCTTTTTATAGATGTACAATTTAATTTATTTATAGTTTTAACATTTTATTTTGTGCTTAGGTTCCAACCCCAAAAATAGCAAATTGAAACAAATTATGGATAAACGTTTATTATAGGGTTTAATGTACCAAACACTCTCGTGAAATATAAATTCGGCACATTAGCCCTCTGTGATTTAAAAAATGCGTCAAACCCTCATGTGCTATAATTAATCATGCGCCAAACCCCCTCCAAGAACAAATTTAATTTTCAAAAAAATGAAAAATGATTAGTTTTTTTTATATAATTTAGAAATTTTGATAAAGTTACTTGTAAATTCAACCATATTATTAAAATAAGTGATTTCGAAATTGTAAAATTTGTTCTTGAAGAGAATTTTGCGCATAATTAATTATAACACATGGGAGTTTGACGCAATTTTTAAATCACATAGGACTAATGAGCCAAATTTATATTTCACGAGGAGATTTGATGTATTAAACCCGTTTATTATATGAAAGATCACATATTTAAAAATGTACCTTGTATAAAATATCCAACACGTACCAGAATCTCCTATTTTAATGCCGCTGAAGTCATAACTTAACTATTTGTGCATCATCCATCGACTCATTCAAAGCTGTAACTGTAAAATATAGATTTCATCGTTAATTAAAGCCCAGAATTTCTGCCATTTTTATCTCCAGTATAAACTCGCCACCCACACTCCGCCATAGAGGAGATCTCTCATCTCTCTCCTGCGTCAAAAACCAGAGTCAAAAACCTCGTTCATACCTATCCAAACAGTGGGTCCGCTGTACATTTCGCGAACCTTCACTCTTCGTCTTCGATAGAAGCATTCTGTGATTCGGGTCCTGCCGGAGTGTGATCGCCGGAGGGTTGAGCATGACTCAATCGATGTCGGGGCTTTCTCACCTTGATGCTTTACCGTCTACGCCGGGGAAGCTGAAGACGGAGAAGAGTAATAACTTGTATCGGCTCCGGTTCTACCCCACCTACTTCCCAAGGTTTACCCTCGGATCTTTCGCCTTAAGCCTGTTTATCCTCCTGTTCCTATTTTGCTCCCCGCCGGCGAATCCCGGCAATAACCGCCGAAATCTGGCGGACGTGGTGGAACCGTCTCGCACGGCCCATCTCGGCCCGAACTGGGAGCGTCGGGTTCGGGCGTCGGCCCTGCCTAAGTCTAAGAAGGGATTCTCGATCCTCGTGACCGGCGCTGCCGGATTCGTCGGGTCCCACGTCTCCCTCTCGCTGAAACGGCGGGGAGATGGGGTTCTAGGGATCGACAATTTCAACAGTTACTATGAAATTGGGCTGAAGCGGGCTAGGAAAACCATCCTCGAGCGCTCCGGCGTGTACATCATTGAAGCGGACATAAACGACGGCGTTTTGCTCCGGAAGCTATTCGACGCCGTCGCTTTCACCCATGTTATGCATTTGGCTGCTCAGGCAGGGGTCCGATACGCAATGCAAAACCCTAGCTCCTACATTCACAGCAACGTAGCAGGTTTCGTGACTCTTCTGGAAGCCTGTAAGGCTGCAAATCCCCAACCCGCCATAGTCTGGGCATCGTCAAGCTCGGTTTACGGTTTAAACTCCAAGGTCCCGTTTTCAGAGGACGATGTAACGGATCAGCCTGCAAGTCTCTATGCAGCCACGAAGAAGGCGGGCGAGGAGATCGCACACACATATAATCATATCCATGGGCTTTCGATCACAGGGCTGCGGTTTTTCACAGTCTACGGGCCATGGGGAAGGCCCGACATGGCGTACTTTAGCTTCACAAAGGATATATTGAGAGGCAAAGAGATCAAGATATTTGAGACGGCTGATCATGGCTCTGTTGCAAGGGACTTCACTTATATCGATGATGTCGTTAAGGGCTGTTTGGGAGCATTAGACACTGCAAAGAAAAGTACAGGTAGTGGGGGGAAGAAGAAGGAAGCGGCGCAGCTGAGGATTTACAATTTGGGGAACACGAACCCGGTGCCTGTTGGGCGTCTAGTGAGTATCTTGGAGAAGTTGTTAAAGGTAAAAGCTAAGAAGAAGGTGCTGGCAATGCCAAGGAATGGCGACGTCCCGTTCACTCATGCCAACATTTCTTTAGCCCAGAGAGAGCTCGGATATAAGCCCACCACTGATCTCGAGTCCGGGCTGAAGAAGTTTGTCAAGTGGTATGTCAGTTACAATGGCTCCAAGAAGAGGAGTGCTTGGTGATTGTGTCTCAAGTGAACAAAATGTGTTTTAATTGTTAGCGAGGGAGAAGAGGGTTCTGTTTTCAACATCTTTGCCAACTAGGCAAGGGGTCTTGGACTGATATGTTTGCTTTGTCAAGCTTTGCTTGTATATTATGTTGTTAGGAGCACCAAACCTCAGTGACATTATTACTCATTATTAGATTTATTATTTAATAAGTTAAATTTGTGTGGTTTTAGTTAGTTTTAATAAATTTGTAGATACTCCATCCTTTCTATGAAAGAAGTCATACTAGCTAGGGGTTTGTATTTGTTGTCGGGTGAGGTATTGGCCCAACGCCCCAACCTAATGGATCATCAGTCCAGCAACGTCATCGGTCCAATATGTCAGCATCTGCAATGGGCCAGCCTTGATGCGCAATTAGTCCAGCAATCTAGCCCCGCGGAATTCTGCTACCGCTTTGGCTCTAGACCGCAATGCCATTGTGGTCGATTGAATTGAATGTACTGCCTATGCTGACCATTGATGCTTTCAACTATGAATGATGCATTGTTTCTGTTGTTTATGGGCGGTTTCATAAACATTGAGAGTAGCCATATGCCATGCCGCCATGTACTTGACTCGCTCTCTTAGGGATCCTTCTGTGATTCATTTGTTCAATCATTTGTTCATATTCCATATTAGGTGTCACTCAAATTTTAAGAACATGGATTACCCAAGTAAAAGAGTGAGAAAACAGGTAAAAAGTAGAAAAAGACGAAGAACAGGGTGGATGAAGTATTTCTTTATTGTCTACATTGTCGCTCTTGATCTGTCTTACATTTATGTACTTACATAACTGACACCAGTAGGGGTTTTGGCCCATTGGCATCTTCTTGTCATAATTACATTTTTAGTGTCTTAAAAAATGTCCCAAATTATTATGGTTATTTCTGATTTCTGGTTTAGAAGCTTGACTGAAGTTGAAGTTTATTGTATTATATATAGACACATTTAATTTTGTGAATGATCTATATTTTCATCTCTATAAAACTTCACTATAAGTTTTATACTCCGTATGAAAAAATTAAAAATAAATTTTAATATGATCAAACTTTGTTAAAGATATTCAAAAAGTAAAAGACAACTAATGGTATGTTGATCACACAAAACAGTTACTAGGATATGTAAAATGAGTCCAACTCAGTACTTATTTCATCATATGAAGACTAACCTTTTTTACAATGCTTAGTTGAAGCTCTAAACAAAAGGTTTTCCTGATACATCAAAGTATCCAACCAATTTAAAATGGATTTTAAATTTTATTTTATTCATTATAAACAAATTAAAGAAATTTCCCGGACTAAAAGAACAGGAAAATGCACAAATATGAGCATGTACTCCATATTTCTTTGCTCTTTATAGGACTAAAATACTCCTATTAAACTTTATCTCCAAAACTATTCTTATATGACACTAGATGAAATGGTTGATACCTATAAAGATGTCATATTTTTTTCCAAGGGCACAAATATTATACGCACACCATTAATAACACTTAATTACACTCATCCACTTAGAAAATTATGAACCTTAATAAGGGCAATAACGGATTGCACATATAAATAGTTAATCATTGCAACTGAAGAATCTTTTTATTTTTCTAAACAAACTTGCGCAAAAAACAATGGACTATGTGTGGGAAATTCACCCTATATTGGAATATCTGTTCAAATCAAATGTAGCGCTTTGGGTATTAAAGGCAAGTGTTTTAGTTGCGGTGTTGTGAAGGAAACATGTATGACACTTTTTCCTTTCTTCTTTTTGACTAAACCTCAAAAGTTGCATGCATTTTGTCAATTTCCCGTTACTTTTGCATACAAAATTACAAAACATTTAATAAAGCCAAAACCGTTGAAACGCTTGTCAAAAGTTGCGCAAAAATGAAAGTTAATAATAGATAGAGAGGGAGGTGCATTGTCTGTGAAAGAATCCAGCAATGAGTACATAGGATTGACTACAACCATTCTCCAGTGTGTACCAATCCAGAATTTCTGGCCTGCTTTGTTAAAAGCATTATCACATCATAATGATAAAGACATCTAAATGAGTTTATAGTGTTTTAGTTCAAAAGCTTTCCTGATCTTGCAGAAAAAAGTGAGGGGGACCATTTTGATCTGCAGTCCTTGGGAGGAGAGGAGAGTAGAATCCAAATATGGCCTCCAATTTTGTCTTAAGGTCTCTTATGATTCTTGGGTTTTTTTGCTTACATTGTGTTTGTAAAAATGAAGAAGAGCTTGCAGTTCTTCTGGAGTTAAAGGATGGGCTGGACCCTGAAAATGAGGTTCTTTATTCTTGGAAGGCGTCTGAAGATCCGTGTAGTGGATCCTTTGTAGGGGTAGCTTGCAATGAGCACAATATGGTAAACAACATTTCTCTGCAAACCAGAAGCCTCACCGGGAAGTTGCTGCCTGTGGTGGCGAAGCTCGAGTCTTTGTCCGGCCTCTACTTGCATTACAATAACTTGACTGGGGAGATTCCAAGGGAGATTGGGAATCTAAAGCACTTGACAGATTTGTACCTCAATGTCAATGACTTCTGGGGGAACATACCCCAAGAAATAGGAAACCTCACTAGTTTGAAAGGTATGCATTAATAATGTATGTGTTGTTTCTGATACCGAGCTGGGATCAATTGCACAGAGTGTAAAATTATATATTTTAAACTTATTTTTCGGAGAAATGATAAGAGTTGAGAGGAAGAGTAGCTATAGATCTTATTTGTTAGATTATTATTTTACATTCAAATGATGTGGGCCAAACATTCCAACACGCACTCTCATCCCACTCCGGATCGGACACTTGAGCCAAACTGTCTCCGTGTGGGCTCCCTGAATCCATAAATCAATAGTCTTGAAGTTCCACCTTATAAAGTCTTATTGCAGCTAAAATTTTATGTTTTGGACACCTATTTTATATAAACTTCATACACAGTGATGCATTAAAGAAAGAGTTGAGGAACATGGATGACTTTACCTGATTGTCTTTAACAATTTCAAATTTTCAATAAATCTTCCACTTGGTAGGTAAGTTCACTTGGACTATCAGTGGAAAACTTTAAATTTTGGATTCTATAATTCAATGGGATGAGGACATTAGTTCTTGGCTGGTTAAAAAATAAACTAAAGTTTTTTACCGATTCCTTTGAGTTTATTTACTTCTTTTACCAGCCATTAATGAATACTTTTTGAAGTTTTTTTGTGCTTTGGTATTTCCAGTGTTGCAGCTTAGTTCTAATCAGTTAACAGGAGGAATACCTGATGAGATAGGGGCATTGAATAATGTGGAGGTTCTAGGATTGGAATATAACCTCTTGACTGGACAAATCCCTTCAAACTTGGGGAAAAACCAGTCAATGCTAAAACAGGTTTTTCTTGCCTTCAATCACCTCACTGGTGCCATTCCTGATGCATTGCCTAGTGCTCCCAAACTGGAGTCTCTTGATGTTCAAAGTAACAATCTTTCCGGAGCTGCCCCTTTGAGTGAGTTGCATTTATATACCGAGCATTGTTTATTTATTTATCTAATTATTTATTTATTTGAATGTATACTACTAGTAATAATAAAAAAGTAATGATGAATACATGACTTGTATAAAAGTAATGGACAAAAATGTAACATTTAAGAGGCAATGACCATGACAGTCTTTTACAAGTGACCATGGTAGTGTTCAAGTTTACAGTGCAATGACTATGTTGGTATTTTCAAAGTGACTATAATGATCATGTAATCACAGTTTTGCCCTAGCTCAGTTTAATATTATTATAGAAAAACCCATATCGTTTATGTTTAGAATCTGATTTCCTTTTTATCTCTCTTTATGTTTCGGTTCAAATGTGAAGCTTTGAATAGATTCAATGGCACGTTCCATGGAGAGAATAACTTGGGCTTATGCGGTTATGGAATGCCAAAGCTGAGAGCTTGCACAGCTTGGGATAATGCAGGCATCATTATTGACCCAGTAGGAGGGTCTGGATCTGGCAATAATACACCAGCCTCAGGTAGTGCTCCAAAGCCCGCCCCAGTGCCATGCAACCAAAGTCATTGTTCAAATTCATCATCACCATCAGCATCACCATTGATAATCTCTGATGACTCCTCCTCCTCCTCCACCTCCGCCTCCAAATTCCGAAAATTTGGCATTACTGTTGGGGCCGTATCTCTTGTTGTTACTTTTTTCGTCATTATGGCAGTTGCCATGTTTCTATATCTGAAGAAAGAAAAATTCGAGGACTCATCTAATAAGCCTTATTATGAAGATCAGCAGTCAAAAGAATTGGGCGGTGGAAGAGTTCCATCGACACGTTTGGCGAATGTCGAGTATTCAGGTCAATTGGAGGCGGGGATGAGCCCAAAAAGTGGTAGTTTGGTGGGGGATGATGATAGTAGTTTAGTAGGGTTTAAGTGTTACAACTTGGAAGAGGTTGAATCTGCAACTCAGCATTTCTCATATAACAACTTGTTGGGAAAAAGCAAATTTTCTGCTGTTTACAAAGGAATACTAAAGGATGGATCTCCAGTAGCCATCAAGAGCATAAATGTGACAGCTTGTAAGTCTGACCAGTCTGAGTTCATGAAAGGGCTGAGTGTACTAATGTCTCTCAAACACGATAACCTTGTCGAGCTGAAGGGTTTCTGCTGCTCAAAAGCAAGAGGCGAATACTTTTTGGTCTTTAATTTTATTTCTAATGGTAAGTTGGCATTGTACCTTGATGGCCAAAAAGAGGATAACAGCGGGCGATTTCTCAACTGGCCTAAAAGAGTTTCTATCATCAAAGGCATTGCTAGAGGTTTAGTATCTTACTCTTGTTTATTTATATCCATTTGTGTGTATTAAGACTTGGTTTCAATCTAGAAAAGTAAGATTTAATAAAAGGAGTAATGAAATGCCTTAAATGTAAACTTATATGTTGAAAAATTCGTTCCATAGCGTCCAAACATGAAACAACAAGCAAAAATATTAGATCATGTACTTCTTATCAGGTTGATCGTTTAATATGAAACTTCAATTCTTTAAATGTTATAAGAACTGATTTGTACCATAGTCATGAAGCGCCCCCCTATGAGAAAAGCACATCAGGACAAAGTATTGGTTTAGAGGGGTGCTGAAGAGTGAAGAGTTCTTTTCAAGCTTAATATATATGAAATAAAAACTGCGTACATCCGACCCCCCTTACCCCATCGTAGGTGGGAGCCTTTGCGGCACTGGGGTAAATGAAAATGAAAATAAAAGGACCTTTGTAGGATTGAAATCCAAAGTCTTATTTTTGAAAGGAAATCCGAAGTCTTTATAATATATTTTTGTGTTTGAACAGAGTGAAGTCACTTAAAATTTCCCATTGAACAGGTCTAGTGTATCTGCACAATGCAGAAGCAGCCAACAAAACTGTCATGGTTCACCAGAACATATCAGTGGAGAAGATCCTGCTTGATGCAGATTTCAACCCACTGATCTCAGATTCAGGCCTTTTGAAGCTCTTTGCAGATGACGTTGTCTATTCTGCCATCAAGGTCAGTGCGGGGCTTGGGTACATGGCTCCAGAGTACATCACCACTGGCCGCTTCACACAAAAGAGTGATGTTTATGCATTTGGAGTCATCATTCTTCAAGTGCTATCAGGGAAATGTGTGCTGATGAACTCAGCCAGACAGCTGGCAGAGTCTGGCAACGTTGCAGATTTGATCGATCCTGTTCTGAAAGGAAGGTTCTTTGAAACTGAAGCTGCTAAGCTAATCAAAGTTGCACTAAATTGCACAGATGAGATTCCTGGACAACGGCCATCCATGGCTGAGGCTCTCGATGAGCTCAACCGACCCTGCCCCTCCTCTGATTGATCAACATTATATTGTCTTCGGCCGGTATTGCTATGCATGGTGCCTTGAAGCCTTTTCATTGAGTCACAAAGCTCTTACTCTCTTCTCACACTAAAGATTTATTACCACTTATAAATCGTTGTAAATAATCAAAGTGGTGCTATACTTCGCTGCTATGCAGAATTTTCCTTTCTGACATGTTACTTTTATAGTTTATACAGTATATCTATGTCTCTTAGTTACTTCTAAACTGTAATCATGGCTCCATCCATTCTCTATCTTAGCCTGAATATACACTTTGGTTTCACATATCATCTCTATATTAGTTTTGATGGGTATAATTATCTGATTAACCGACGGGTTCAATGAATCAGTTCAACACAGACCAAAAGTAAGGCTTTGGGTGACTAAGCATAAGGAAAACTGTAGCTGGGATTGAGACTACAAGGCACAATGGTGAAGAACATCTTACAGTTGTATCCTTAATTATTTATTATTGTGCAATTTGTAGTCTTGATAATCTTTATTTTGTCTGGTAATTAATGATTTACCTGGTGGGAGGTCTCTATATATATGCAGCTCTAACTTGAGGAATGTATCTTCATTTTACTATTACTTCTTTACTCAGACATAAAATATTCTACCTATCTATTCTTACGGACGGCATATTCATGTTTTTCTTATTGTTGCTCTTATTGTTACGTAGTATATATTCATTTGAAATCAGCTTTGAGGTTTAATGTTGAGTTATCCTGTTTAAAACTCAACAAGTTTAAATTCCCCCATATTAGTTCCCTCATTTTCATTTTCATTTATCCCAGTGCCGCAAAGGCTCCCACCTACGGTGGGGTAAGGGGGGGGTCGGATGTACGCAATCTTACCCCTGTATTAAAGCACAAAGAGACTATTTCCGGATGACCCATAGTGAAAATTGCGTCCAAAATTGCATGGACTGACTGCTTAACAAAGAAGCGCAGACAGTTTAATGAGCCATTTTGCTTTATTCCATCATATTTAAACTTGTTGAGTTCCCTAAATAATAAAAACCAATCTGAATCATGATAAAATGCACCATTGTAAAGGCTCAATAGACACAAAGAGTGAACCAGTGAAATCAATTAAAATGTTCAATATTGACACCTCTGAGACCAAGCTTACCCCTCATGTCAAGGCCACGGCCTGTCAACTCCAGGGTTAGCCACTCCTGAGGCAGGGGCAAGTGAGCCCGTGTCAAGGGTACAGGCCCATAAGTTTGCAGCCAGCGCACATACCAATAGATATTGTCCCGTAACTCAATACATACACAATTGATATGCACAATAAATTGTGATTCATAAATTATAAGTCACTTGATTTGTGAATAGGTTCTTATAACTTTTTATTACTAAGAAGTTTCTTTCCATAGTTGCAATTGCGATTATCCTAAGTCAACAAACATCATTAATATACTCGAAAACCTACAATAAGAGGGACCATATAAATATATAGCTTTCAAGCTAAATAAATTGTCACTTTCCCGGCCTGAGTTAAACTTTAGGAAAATCGAGCAAACAAATCGTAGCCATTTGAATCAATCTGATGTTAACAAGTAATCAAGTTACCTAGACTGACTTGAGCATTACACACAGTCACAGAGTAGCAACTTTGTACTGATATGATGATATCAGTGAATCTATTGATGAGCTCCATAAATTGTACTACTTCCGTCCCATTTATTTTGTGTCTCACTTTGACTAACCATTAGCTCATATGAGCCGTATATGACGTGCTTAGTAAAATTTTCGATTATTATACACCTCTGTCCTCAAACTCTCCTGGTGAAATCTAGGGCTGAGCATAACCCGAACCGACCCGCAAAACCCGAAGTTTTTTCCGGATATTATCCGAACCGAAATGGATATCCGGCCCGAAAAACCCGAAACCGAAAATCCTATTAATATTGGGCCTAGATCGGGTGGCGGGTAGGGTTTGTAAAATCTCAACCCGACCTGCCCGAATATCCGAAATATATTAAATAATTTAGTGTGTACTTTGAATATGTTAAAATACTTGTGTTCAATTATTTGTGTAATTATTTCTGCAATTTGTGATAAATTATTTTTGTAATCTGAATGTGCAGTGCATTAGTGTGTACAATTTTTGTCAAAGTGACATTCCAACACTTTAATTATCCAATTATAATGTGTTTTAATATAACCGAAATATTCGAAATATATTAAATTATGTAGTGTGTACTTTGAATATGTTAAATTAATACTGTGTTCAATTATTTGTGTAATTATTTATGTTCAATGTGTATTAAATTATTTGCGTAATTTGAATGTTTAGTGCACTTGTTTGTAGAATTTTTTGTCAAAGTGGCATTCAAACACTTTAATTATCCAATTATTATTATTTTTTTTAATATAACCGAAATATCTGAAACCCGTTCCGATATCCGATAATATCCGACTTACAAATATCTGAAAAACCCGATTTGAAATATCAAAGGGTCGGGCTTAGTATTTAATATATTAAGTTAAAGGTTTAAATATGTTTTTAGTCCCTCCAAATATAGCACACTTTGATTTAGGTCTCTGCAAAATATTTTCTTTGTTTTTCATCCTTGAAATTTATATTGGTTTTCGTTTTACTCCATGACTAGTGATAACAACCTTCGTTTGACAATGAAAGAACCCGGCCAATAGGTATCCTTTAATTCTTTGTCATGCCATTCAAAAAGTATTTAATTTCATTGTTCAAAAGGTTTTAATACATATTTAAAAAGTGCAAATAAATTAGTTTGAATATTGTTTTAACTCTCTTATTAATCTCAAAAAATTATAAACTGATGAATTTAAATGTTTCTAGTAGATTTATGCAACTGATAATAAAAAAATCGAATTAGAATTGTATTGGAGTTAGAGATGGACTAAAACCAAAATGATGCATATTACAGGGATGCAAAACATAAAAAATATTTTACAGGGATCTAAAACAAAGTGTGCCATATTTGGAGGGCTAAAACCATGTTTAAACGTAAGTTAAATACTACTCCGTATGCTTGTGTCTACCCGTAAGTCCGCTGCACTTCATCGCTGCGTCCCTCCTTCTCAAACCGTCTCTTCTCACTCTGGTAATCGGAGCTCTCGGACAGAATTAATGGATCAATTATCAGATGATTTGATTGCTGATATACTCTCTCTATTGGACACCAAGGAAGCCGCTAGAACGAGTGTTTTGGGGAGCAGATGGAGATTCTTGTGGGCTCAATCACCCAATCTTGATTTTGAATTCCTCGATTGGTATCAACCTAACAAGAGAAAAGAATTTGTTGACGGGATGAACAGGCTAATTGGTGCTTGTAAGGGAAAAAAACTTGAAAAGCTTACAATCAACTTCAATGATTGTTCTGTACCAGACGTTGATCATTGGATAGATTTTGGGTGTGAGAGGAATGTGCAAACTGTGAAATTGAGGATTCAGAATGAAAGGCATCCCTACATACTTCCAAAGATCATGTATACTAGTTCATCTCTAGTATCATTATCTTTGGAATTTTGTAATATACAACCACCTGAGGGAAAAATTAAATGGCCTTCTTTGATAAAACTCCAAATTTCAGGAGTCCAGATATCCCAACTTGTCATGGACAATATACTCTTGGCCTCCCCACGATTATCATCTTTGCAATTGCATCAGTGTTGGGGATTTACCCATTTGACCATTAACTCCACAAACCTACATGATCTAGTGTTGAGGGACCCAGAGGATCAAATAGATCTTGAGCCAGTCTTGACCATTTCAGCACCACATATAAAATATGTGGATCTGTTGGTGTATCATATGAAAAGAGAAATTCAGCTACAACCTTGCTCCTCACTAGTGAGCGTAGGATACAACTTCATCGGCATGGATAAAGTCATACCAAAAGCTGTATTCTTTAATACGGAGACCTTCTTTGAAGAGATCCATCACATTCAAGAGCTGCATTTACATGATGCTTCTATTCAGGTATTTCTTTCTTTTTTTTGGGTTTGCTACTTGAGTAGAAGATAAAGCTACTTAAGAACCATAATAGAAGATAAAGCTGCTTGAGTTTGCTACACATTTGAGTGGGGTCTTGGGTTAATGTACTGAAATGAACTTATATGCTGAACAGTTCTATTGTCCTGATGTTTTGAATTGTTAAACTCTCCAATTCAAAATGTACTCAACTCTTATATGGTGTTTTATTTCACATGAAAATAAAAATTCTTAATTGAAGCTACCAAATACTATGACCTAAAGAACTCCCAGTTGAAGTAAAACAAAGTGAGACATATGAGTACAAGGTTATATGCATTTGAAAAACCATTTTTTTTATATGCAGGCCTAAATCTTATGTCATATGTATGTATTGCTTTAGGCGGATTTACATTTTCTTAATATAATGTTATTTGCATTTCAAACTGCAAATCTTGATATGCAAATATCTTGATGTGCAATTATGTTGCCTGAACCCTACGCCATACATATTGTTTGAGGCAGTTTTACATTTGATTATAACTACAATGTTATTTACATTTTAAACTCCAAACCTTGATATGAATCATGTATTGCCCAGCCTGAACTCCACTTTTTATATTCCTTCATAGTAGACAAACATTTCAGGTTTTAGGATTACAAGAGAATATTTTATTTTCGAGGTGTCATTTATTAGTGGGTAGTTATGCGGATATAAGACATTACTTAACATCAAGGTGCTACTTATTTATTTAGATTATATTTAGGTTAAATATTGATGATGTTTTTAGGACGTAAAATCATTACTTTTAAGACAAAGACAAATATTTTTTGTTGAGGCTACACTTTATGAAAGATTGAAAAGTATCCAAGTTCTCATCTTTCTATTGAAGAATTAACAGTGGTAGAATATCTGAATATGTAATCATGAACATTCCCTACATTCCCTGATTTTTATCCAAAATAGAATTTAAAATAGCAAGTAGCAAGAGGAAGTGTTCCTCAATTCGTTTCTACACAATATATTTTCAAATACAAGTATATCTGTATATAACAACACATGAGTACATTTTGTTATAAATCTTCACCGGGTTTAAGGTGTGCACAATTGTTTTTTACACACCAAATAATCTCTGCTTCAAGTAGTTTAAGAATTTTGACTGTGTCATTAGGTCATAATAATTGTAAGGTGTTTGCATTTTTTTGAAGTTCAGGTGCAGGCAGTTATAGTAATATTGTGAATGAAGTATGTGGTGATTAGTCATGGTTTAGCAAATTGACAGAAACAAAGCGAACAACGGTGTAGTCCAAGTATATTTGGACTGATCACTAATTACTTGTTGAAATTAGGTTGTATCAAAACTTTTGGATCACGGTTGGCAGCTTCCAACAGGGAACATTAGGTGCTTGAGAATGGATGTTGCATGGGATGTTAAACAAACCCTTCTGAGTTCTCTAGATTTACCTCTGTGTACTCTAGTCATTCTAAATGCTTCTCCAACCATTGACACTTTGATCATAAGTTGTGATTATCCGCAAATGGTAAGTGTGAACTACTTTATGATAAATTTTGTTTGCTCAACATTATTAAATATAAGTTTGTCGTTTATTTTCATTCCAGTTGGAGGACAACTGGACCCAACTAGCAAAGGAGAAGTGCAATGGCGATTTTATAAATTTGAAGTTTATCAAGTTAATCAACGTGGTGGGAGATTCTGTTGGGTGTGTTTCGAAAAACAAAGAAAATTAATTAATAAAAATTAATTAAATAAAATGACTTAAATGAAAAACGAGAAATGAGATGAAGCAGAACAAGCCAAAGCTCGTGCTACGCACGATTTCCTTAAAACGTATTCGTTGCCTCCCGGGGTGCTAGGAGCGTTGCAACGATCGTTTCCCAGGATACGATGACTTCGAACAATAGTTTAGCACTCAAACTAAAGTTCCAACGAACGAGAACAAAGCTTAGAACACAGAAGGAATTTCGGAAACTGGAGGTGGTTTTTCACGAGCTCAAAAATGCGTGAGTACGTTTGTGAGTGGTGTAATGTTGCAAATCACCTGCCAGCTATTTATAGGAAGGATTTGGAGGTGTGTTAATGGAGGTTTAATGGATATGAACGTTGGCAATCAATGTCCAGCTCGTTGGCATTGATTCGTCCAAAAAACCGCCCATTTATTGCAAAGGAACGTTGGGCATTTATGGCGTTGTAACGTCCCAGCAGCTGTCTGCTGAGGAGCCAACTGCTCGCACGGAGCAGTAGCCTGCTGTGGAGCCAACTGCTCGCACAGAGCAGTAGCCTGCTGCAGAACCAACTGCCGAGCCTACTGCGGACGTAGAATTTTAGAAGATAGAATTTTCGGACGACATTCGTGTCCGCAGGTCGCCCGCGCACGCAAGTCGGGCTTTTTGTTCTCCGGTTTCGGGATTTGATTCGCACCCCCCCTGCGCGCGTGGAGAGAGCCTTTACCCTAAGGAATTTTAACTCCTTAAGGGGGGTTTCCCTTTATAAAGGGTTCAAATTCCCTTGGGTTTTCCGGTGTGGGAAAAACCACACTAGAAACCCATCATTTTCCTAGTTTTTTCCATTCCAACGGGTAAACTTCGAAAAGCGATTTCTCATTCACCCGTTATCCGTTTTGAGCGTACCATATATCGAATTGTAGCCCTAAGCAAGGACAATCCGAAACCACTTTGACCCGACCCAAATCGGAAGTGGACCACACTCAAAAAATTGCCCCAAAATGACCATTTAATGCAATTTCCAACACATTTTTCCAACAGATTCAAGTGGTGATCTCATCAGGACTTTGGCCCAAATACTTTTGGAGAGAACACCCGCTCTACAAAAAATGGAAATATGGTTCAATGTTCAAGATAGAGATGACTTCATGAAAATAAGCCAAACCGTGCATGCCTTCCCAAAGTCCTCAACAAAGGCTTTAATGTTGCTTCATTAGATCGATTACTTTTTGTGTGTGTGAGTGGATTACTTTTATGTTTTAATTCTCACATTTTACATGGAAATATGTTAAGATCCGAGGTTTCAATCCTAAAAGGTCAACCATGTTAGGAGCAGTATCCTTCATATAGCACTTTATTTATTCAAATCTTTTCGATGTGGAACATTTAACGCCCCTCCTTACGACCATACACTTCGTCTAGATCGTGCCATCATTAATTTTTTTTTATCGGTTCGTTTTTTTTCATCCGGACGTAATTGTCATTTTTTTTATAATCCTGTCATCACGATTCATAAGGGGCCCCATACTATGGATCGAATTGGCTTTGATACCATGTTAAGACGTTAAGACTTGGGATTCCAACCTAAAAGGTCAATCCTGTTAGGAGGAATAGTCAATATATTAATATAGCACTTTATTCATCCAAAGCTTTCCGGTGTGGGACATTTAACAAAATGGCGATTTTATAAATTTGAAGTTTATCAAGTTAATTAATCTTTCAAAAAAAAAAGTTTATCAAGTTAATCAACGTGGTGGGAGATTCAAGTGGTGATCCCATCAGGACTTTGGCCCAAATACTTTTGGAGAGAACACCCGCTCTACAAAAAATGGACATATGGTTCAATGTTCAAGATAGAGATGACTTCATGAAAATAAGCCAAACCGTGCATTCCTTCCCAAAGTCCTCAACAAAGGCTTTAATGTTGCTTCATTAGATCGATTACTTTTTTTTTTGTGTGTGTGAGTGGATTACTTTTATGTTTTAATTCTCACATTTTAAATGGAAATATGTTAAGACCTGAGGTTTCAATCCTAAAAGGTCAACCATGTTAGGAGCAGTAGCCCATGTATGAATATAGCACTTTATTTATTCAAATCTTTTTGATGTGGAACATTTAATACCTCTCCTTACGACCATACACTTCGTCTAGATCGTGTCATCATTAATTTTTTTTATCGGTTCGTTTTTTTCATCCGGCCATAATTGTCATTTTTTTTATAATCGTGTCATCACGATTCATAAGGGACCCCACACCATGGATTGAATTGACTCTGATACCATGTTAAGACCTGGGGTTCCAACCTAAAAGGTCAATCCTATTAGGAGGAATAGCTCATGTATTAATATAGCACTTTATTCATCCAAATCTTTCCGGTGTGGGACATTTAACAAAATAGTGACTATGGGATTACTTCTATAGTTTTACTAGACAAATGTATGACTAGATCTTAATTTTGACAAAAAGTGACTAAATATTAAATAAACAATCTATGCATCTATATATCTAGGGAACCGTGTGTACATAACTGTTCCCGTCGAAGCAAAATTGTTGGGCCGCATGAAATTATTCAGGAAAGAATTCTGCAAACTGGAACCAGCTAGATAAAAATAAGGGAATTTTTCACAAATAGACAAAAAAGTGAAATTAATATCACTTTTGTCACTTTACAAAATACTTTTCAAAAATAGATCAACTGGACTCCTCCTTTCAAAAATAAACTGTGTCCGTTGAACCAACTTTCCCGATTCCGGAATCTGCGCTTCAAAGAAGCGTATCACACAATTTTGTTTAATAAACTACTCCACTGGGCTACTTCTATCACACTTTGTTAATTAAATTGATATAAACCGCAAGAATAATTCAATTCTTGATTAAAAAAAAAAAATGTATGTGTAGTAAAAGAGATGAATATAATAAGATAATAATGAAAGTATTAAAAATAGATAACAATAAAAAAATACCCCCTCTGTCCCATTTTATAAGATATCTTTACTATTCACTTGGTCAATACAAATCATTTTTAATCTCTTACTTTATATATCAAAATTTTATGAAATTTGAATTATTTTTTGCAGGTTTTGTAGCGGTTTTAATGTAGTTTCTGAATATGTAATTTTTTTTCTAAAAATAATCTGAGTGCAGACATAGATCAGTTTGTTTTATCGTCGGTCAAACATCGTAAACCGAAAAGTATTTTATTATTCGGAATGTAGGGAGTAATAAAATAATCAAAACACATAATGCATAATAAAAATCGAGCTTGAAAACAAATAAGCTAGATTTGAAAAAACAGAATATTTATTAAAAAAATAAATCAGATATGAAACGTATAAAATTTTGATAGAAAAAAACTCAAAAGTAAAAATAAGAAAGATTTAAAATAACTTATAAAGTGGAATATCTGTAGAAATATAACAATTGATGTATTTTTATCTCTCAGAAGACTTCATATACCCTATAGTTTGTACTTCAAGCAATCAAAAATATAAATAATTGAAGTTTTTATAAAATTAATTTAAAAATTAAAATATATAAATAAAAAATTGAAAAAAATATCAAAATATAAAAATGAAACTAAACTCTATAATATTTGGAATCTTAAAAAAATAAAAATGGTTTTGTAGATTATAAAATATTTGAAAATATCACAAAATATCATAGGAAATTATAAACTATTTTGGAACAGTTATTTTTTTTTATGATGGAACAGTTATTATTTTAGACACCAATATCCATACAAAGTAAAACAAATATATTAATTGGATTAAAAAGTTTGAAAATCAAATTAAATTCTATAAAAGAAAATATAAATAGGAAATTGTTAAAGAAATTAAAAAGAAGTAAATTTAGTTAAACCAAAAATCATGAGAAATATAAAACTTGAAAAATAAAAATGTATAAAATAAAAATAAAATTTAAAATAGAATTTAATGTTGAAAATTTTTAAAATTTAAAAAAATGAAAAATACTCATTAGATAGATTTGTTGTTTCTTTTTGTTGTATATTGTTTCTTTTTGTTGATAACTCTGAATGTTTTGTTTTTTATTGTTTTTTTATGTTTCCCGTAGTTGGTTTATATATAGAAATTCAAATTTATCATTTTACCTGATTTAATATGAATCTATATATGATTTTTTACTTGAAAGAAGTAGCTATGTTAAATAAAAATCTGAATATACAAAAATCAAGAACAATTCAACAACAAAACAAAAATAAGTAATACAGTGCAACAAATAGCAACACGATGCAACAAAAAACAACAAGATGCAACAAAAAACAACAAGATGCAACAAAAAGCAACACATTCAATACAACAAAAAGCAACAAAAAACGATGTATAAAAGTATCACAACAACCATGTAGTTCAATCTAGTATTTTAATGTATTACATATATCCCCCTTTTCAGACATATGCAGAAACAGCCTGTAAGCTTCTTCAACTTTACCAACTTCTGCAAACTTCTGGATAAGGATGTTGTACGTCTTTATATTTCCAGGAAACCATTTACTAAATCTTCACTACATCAGGCTTGTACAAGTGTGATCATCACTTTATAACTTTGTTGATTTGTAAAATATGCTATAGGAGACAGCTTCTGAAAAACCTTAACTAACATTTCAACATTTTCGCTTGCAAAGGGTTCTACTCATATTGTTCAAAGTAAGAAGGGTGGGAAATACATCTTTGTCTACATTAAAATTGAAGAACAACATGGAGGAATGGTGATCAACAACCGAAACCAATCCAATCATCACATTGAGTAGATTGTCAGCCATGGGGAAATTCCCATCCATGGTTACTTCTCACTACTCTTTTGCTTCTGATATTAGTCTTTCTGAAATCAAGCTAACAACGAACTCTTTATAATCATTGGATCTAGGTGCAACTCCCAGCTTCCCTTTTTAAAAAAAAAAACATTTCTACATTGATCACATTTCTTGTTCCTCTCAATGGTTGTGAAACAAATCTGTATGCTATAAAATTGGGATTTATTTACATACATATCTCTTTTCCTCAACTCATCCAAAG